AGCTGCAACCACTCACGCGGTGTGGGTGTTGCGTATAGCGAGACAATATTTCTCAGTAACACAACTTGCATTAGGAAGACAACTGCCAATGTTCTGCAGAAGCCAGATAATCTTTTACTGTTAATCAAAGGAAACAGGCTTTTTTGGTTTTGTAGCATCAAATGACTGACACGGAATGTTTTCACTGGTGACGGATAACTGGCACGCAAGCATTAACATTCATTGTAGTGATAGAGTGGGGGTGATGTTAAAATTGGCATTCACAGGAATCGTGCACGCAAACGTTTTTGGAATGGGGCTCTGTCTAGAGGTCATTTAACTACAAAGCTGTGTAATTTTTGTGTCTAAGAACACTTCAGTTTTTTGCAGCACAATATCTCAGTTCACAGATTCACCATAGCCCTAGTTTTTTCTCAGTTCTAGCCATTTTTGCCTTTGGATGTAATTAGGAAATAATTACATTTGTCAAACAGCAGAAGGCGGCTAGTTCATAATGTCTTATAAAATGCTAACAAATGTGTAAATTACATAATTGAAGGAGCAGATGGAATTGGATGCAGTTATGGTTCAACGTATAAACAACGGATAAAATGGTATAAACTTCCTTAGAAATCTTTCAGGTCTGTGCCTCTCCAGGACAGGTGTTGATCATTGCTGCATTGTTTGAGCTACATATTTCACATCTAGATATTTTTTTGTTTTCTGTATATCCCCCTTTAAACCAATGTTGATATTTTGATGGCAGGGTGTGGTGGCCTCTGGACACAACTCATTTATACCACAATATGATGTGTGAAACAAGTCATGTAATCTATTAAACACTGAGGGCACAATCAGCACATTTCAGTAATGCAGGGTTTCATTAACCCTGCTTAAAGGCTTTACTTTTGTCCTTTGTTTCAACTGTGCTTTTGGTAAACTGGTAAATTTGGTGCCATACATTGTGATGCTGGTAGCTCCAAATAATGCTGTTTTTATTTTCAAATTGAAATAATCTCCGAACAATTATTGGTAGTAGATGATAATAAAACCAAGCCAGTGTTTCGCTACTCCTTTGGTTATTGTGCAAGTCCTTCTTGCTGCCTTAGCTAAAGAAACAGCCCCACCCCTCTTCCTGTGGAATCTTGTGAATAAGTGTTCTGCTTATCTTTCAGACAACTCCCTCTGCTCAGGTTTCTTGTCCTATCATTTACACCGTGATTCATTTTGGCTTGGGGGGGAGTTCAGAAAATCACTAGTTCCAAAAGACAAATCGGGGGAAAAAAAAGTGGAATGTCAGTTTATTCGTGTTTTTTTTCCCCATTTGTTTTTATACAGCTCTGTGGTGCAGGTATTGCTCTCGAAGTGCATGTAGTTTGATCATTTGTTTTGGTGTGCTGGCATCAGTTGGATGGCCATGAGTTTAAATACCGATCTGTCATGAATCTAGTAAGAGAAAAAATATTGCCCCTCTGTCCTAATTTAGTCTCCTTATACAAATACAACTTTAATTTTTATGTTGCATTCTTTAATCAAGTATGACTCACCAGCAGCCATGTCACCCTGCTACTCACAACTGGTAGCCCACTGAAGCTCAGCAGGAGTGAGCCTGGTCAGTACCTGGATGGGAGACCTCCTGGGAAAAAAGAAGGTTGCTGCTAGGAGAGGTGTTAGTGGGGCCAGCAGGGGGCGCTCACCCTGCGGTCTATGTGGGTCCTAATGTCCCAGTATAGTGACGGGGACACTGTACTGTAAAAAGGCGCCGTCCTTCGGATGAGACGTAATATCAAGGTCCTGACTCTCTGTGGTCATTAAAAATCCCAGGGTGCTTCTCGAAAAGAATAGGGGTGTAACCCTGGTGTCCTGGCCAAATTTCCCATTGGCCCTTACCAATCATGGCCTCCTAATAATCCCCCTCTCTGAACTGGCCTCATCACTCTGCTCTCCTCCCCACTGATAGCTGGTGTGTGGTGAGTGTACTGGAGCACTATGGCTGCCGTCGCATCATCCAGGTGGGGCTGCACACTGGTGGTGGTGGAGGGGAGTCCCCATTACCTATAAAGCAGTTTATAATAATTAATAATTGCTTTCACTTATAATTATTTTTATTATGTTTAGTGAATAGGTGAGTCAGTCTAGTCCCTGATTGTCTCAGGATTTTCTAGTTTTTATATCTTTTTTAGAATGAGATGTTAGCTCTTTTGTCTTTTCCAGGTCTTAATTGAGAGTTCCCTCTGAAACACCCAGACGTCATGGAGTGGAATTGTCCACC